TCCTTCAGTTTACTCAACCTACTTCTTGCTTAACTATCATGTAATATAACACAGTGCGAAATATGACTTCTTCTACCTTTCCTTCAGTTTACTCAACCTACTTCTTGCTTAACTATCATGTAATATAACACAGTGCGAAATATGACTTCTTCTACCTTTCCTTCAGTTTACTCAACCTACTTCTTGCTTAACTATCATGTAATATAACACAGTACGAAATATACCTTCTTCTACCTTTCCTTCAGTTTACTCAACCAAGCTCCGGTTGAACTATCGTGCAATATAACACAGTACAAAATATGACTTTCTTTTACCTTTCCTTCAGCAAGTAATATAAAGTTTTAATTCCCTCGCAAGCTTAATAATAATAATACAATAGATTTTTTAACTTGTATAAACACTTAAATGTATAGCAAGTTTAGTTATTTCCAGCGCTGTTACACATCTGGATAGATATTGAAAATGTCCTGGTTTTATAGAACGTACAAATACAGAGTTATCTTTGAATGAAACTGCTACATTCTCGAGTGTGAAGAAAGAAACCAGTTTCGAAAAGTCAGCATCTGTATATATATATATATATATATATAGTTGTTATCCCTCAGTTTACCTACTCGTTTTCATACCGTCCACTAACGGTGAGGTCTACATATGACATCATACTATAAAGTACTGAATCACAAACAACTGAGCAAATCCCTCATTTTCTACGTAAATACACGTTGCACCCAAGCAGTAGTTAGTAGTATCAAATAATGGTACTTTTTATTTAAAATATTTTGCGTGACTTCTATGTCATAACGGACCATGTAAGCAACAATGATGGACTCACAAGGAAGGTGATACATAAATAGTTTAGAAAATGTATTCAAAAATCTAGTTGAAGTCCAATGGACACCATCGATAATTACAGAGTTAAAATATCCTCTTGACGCTTTAAAACTGTAAGAGCAATTAATGAATTAAGGATGTTTTACGAAGTTGATCTTATTAACGAGAGAGGAGAGGAAATGTTTAAAGAATAGTTAATTATCTCTTTTTGGAATTTTCTTGAGAATTTAATTTTTTTTCCTGGTGTATTTTATCCAGGTGACACTTCCGCAGTTCGTAAGTCTACAGGAAGAAAGGAACATTGTACAGCTTGTAGACAGCCAATCGTAGACCGGTACATAATGCGAGTGATGGACAACTCTTGGCATGAAGGCTGTCTCCTCTGCTCTGTGTGTCACAACCATCTGACCAAGACCTGCTATTCCCGAGATAGAAAGCTATACTGCAAAGCAGATTATGACAAGTAAGATGTTTAGAATTATATTTTATTCGAGGCACTTTTAAAGTATTTTAAAATATGTCAAAATATATCGTTTCCGTGTATGACTTTAAAACGTATGTAGTACTCTTAAGGCACGCACAGTAAAGTTTGTTTCACATTGAAATCTCTCCCTCAACGATATGTATCTTAACATCAATATCGCTATTGAAATTAAGCACAAAGTAAAATTTTCTCTAATATTACATGCTGATGGACATATGAAGAAGATAGATGGTGTTATAGTCCAAAATACAGGGCTATCGAATAATTTGTGGAGAAAATAACGAAAGATGAAACACGAGGAAAAGAAGTAAAAGGTCATTTCTTTAAAAAATGTTTAAATGGTTCTTTTCGTACGCTGTATTAGTAATATAATTATCACTGTGTTCTAAGTTTGTGTTCTATATAAATTGATAAAACCAATAAAATGTATACACAGTAAATTCTTCAATCAGATTCACAATAAACGCTCAGAATGAGTACACTAAGTACGGTCAGAACGGGTACACTAAGTACGTTCAGAACAAAAACAAGTTGGGTAAATCATGTGCGATCAGATAAGGTACAATAAGGTCAGAGTGGATACAACATGTACGTTTAGGTTGAGTGCATCATGTAAATTCAGATTGTTGTATGCTCAGATTGGGTACACCATGGATTGTGTACAATATGTACGCTCTGTTTGTGTACAACATGTATGCTCAGATCATGTACAATACGTACAATCTGATAGGATGCAGCATGGATTGTGTACAACATGTACGCTTAGTTTGGGTACAACATGTATGCTCAAATTGGATACAACATGGATTGTGTACAACATGTACGCTCAGATTGGATACGTCATGTACCCCTAAAAGGAATGTACGTTATTGTGTAATTTATCTTAATTTCTTGAAAAACCTCTGTTATCTTTTTCTCTCAGTCATATTCTGTTTTGGTCGAAATTTTTCCTAGTTCTCGATGTTCACGCTCGTCTGTCTCGTCGTTAATTTCAATGGCTTATATTCCTACTATCAACAAGAAAAAATTTTTATAAAAGTATGTCATAAAATATTAAAGACAGATTTTTTTTTAACCTTTACATTGAGATACAAAGATATTAGTTTTCGGTAACATGTGCACAAACAGTCTTTATTGAACAATGCTAGCCTCTGTTACATGACTTCTTCTGGATCGCATCTACATACATATAGTCACTGTAGACAAATTTTAACAAACTTACTTTGAGTTCTTTGCATATTTTTCTTTTACTGAGAAAGAAATTTACAGTTTTAATTTTACACTCGAGTTGATTCTAACTCGTAACAGTTTTTCTTGCTGTATAAAATCACTCAAAAATGGCTGCTTTTTTTCATACTTAGTTGTCACCAAAAGAATGCACTTTTACAGGGGTTTTTGAATAACTACGATCTCGTTATGTGTATATCATAAGTAGAAATATTATCTAATGGCAAGTAAATTATCATAAACCGCGTTAACAGGAGACACTGTACACAGAAAAACAATAAACAAACTATAATTAGAAAGAATTAATTTAAAGAAACAAACTTCTTAACTGAGAAATTACACTTTCTGCATCAGGGCATAAACTTACTACATGTTAAAAAAAACAACTAAAATTAAAATGATATAAGATTTAATATTCTTACCAGAAATATTGTATAATTATAAATCTTAATAACAATAATTATTTAATTTTTGTTCAGAAATTAATTACTTCATAATAAGCTTGCTCTGTGGCGCTGCGGTAAGCTTGAGGGCTTATATACCTAAAATTTCCTACTTTGGGCACAGCGCAGATAGCCCATTATGCAGCTTGCATAATAATATAATATTCCTAGTGTTATCTTCTCCCTCTTTACTTCAGATTATGGTTACTTGTGTTATCTTCTCACTCTTTACTTCAGATTATGGTTTCTTATGTTATATTCTCACTTTTTACTTCAGATTATGGTTCCTTGTGTTATCTTCTCACTCTTTACTTCAGATTATGGTTTATTGTGTTATCTTCTCACTCTTTAATTCAGATTATGGTTTCTTATGTTTTATTTATATTTCCTTTATATATTTTAATCATCACTGCCAAGCTCGTTCATTATTGTGTTATCTTCTCACTCTTTACTTCAGATTATGGGAAACCATAATCTGAAGTAAAGAGTGAGAAGATAACACAAGGAACCATAATCTGAAGTAAAGAGTGAGAAGATAACACAACAACACACTGCCTTTCTTTTTTGTGATGTTACAATCAATTTAATGGCGGAATTGGACACCCAAGTTTCTGAAGGTTGTCATCCTCTTTTCCTCTCAGTAATCCCGCCACTCAATCAATTCAACTTTAACTTTACATTAGAAGCCTTTAAATGACTTTAAAACCAGATATTTAAAGATACTTGAGAACTATACGAACCTGAAATTTGGGGTTTTGTGAAGGTGTGTTGATAATTATGGCTGTCTTTATATGTTACATTGTTGCAATCAACGAAGGTAGTCAGCGGTAAGTTTTAACTTTAGGTATCTATCTCCTCCTCACCCTGGGGGAGTGCGCAAAATAATTCAAAATAGAACACAATAACAACTATGGCAATGTTAATATATTAAGATATTGCAAGAACCAAATTTTATTTACCTTGGGTGAAATATTAAAACCTTTAAAACAACTAGGTCAAAATTAATAAACGTCGGTTTAGAATTTCCGCGTTATGCTACACGAAGGGCTATCTGCGCATTACCTTCCCTAATCTTGAACTGATAGACTAAAGGGAAGACAGCTATTCAACAGCACTCACCTTCAACACTTAGGCTACGCTTACCTGACCGAATAATGTAATCTGATCGTCATTATTATAGCACATCCACGGTCTTAAAGTGCAGATTGCGTTTTTGGGGCAACAGAACACGAACCACGAATCCTCCGATTCACAATTTGGGCACGCTAACCGCTAGGCAACGTACGTAAAAGATAGTTAAAATCGCAGGTTACTAAGTACCATGGGTAGGGAGGAGAGAATGTAAGAAGTAGGACCCATACAGCAATGAGGATACATCGCCTATCAGTCTTAAACTCTAATAGCAAGCTTCATCATATCTGAATTAAAACAGGAGCTAAAAGTAGAATTATACAACAGGACACAGATGTGGATGCTAAAACCCAATAGATGTGGGTGCTAAACACCAATAGATGTGGGTGCTAAACCTCACAACATCCCACACCTGAAACTATCCGTCAGCAGCCAGCTGTGGGGTGGTAGTTGCTGCTAATGAAATAGAATGGCAACAAAATACAACAAAAGTACAAAATAACGACTGTACGTGGGTATGAAGGGGGAATAATAAATCAAACTAGTCTTCTGAAGTTGATGTTCTCCATATTTTTTATACACACTCGTATGATCACCTTGAATAAACTTAAAATGTCTTGGCCAATTTGAAGAGCTTTAGTCTCCATTCCCTGGAGTCTTGCTAGGTTGACAAACTCACTGAAGCATTACGTGTCTATACGTAACTTAACAATTTCTATAACAACGTTTAGGTGGGGTATTTAAACTGGAATTAATTTTTAATGGTATACATAATGTTTCATTAGGATGATATCTATAATACGTTTAATTTACATTATCATATGTAGAAAGAAGGAGTCGCTTTCTTATAATTTCGTTTTCATTCACAGATGAAGTTTTGCGATAGAATTTTAATTCTCTGTTTCATGTCTTGCTAAAGATGAGTCAGGCTTTCCAGACTTGGGGCGGGAATAAAGCGTGTGTAGAATTGAGAATACTGTACTGGCGAAACTGTGGTCACAGTAACTAAAGTATTTGTAAAATGTACAGTTGTCTTTGTTTTTCTCAATTCTTTAATCGTAGAGTCATGAAGTACCGACGGTTTCAAGCATTAAATAGAGAAAGCCTTTAGTGCTGTTGGTTCGAAACAACGAGATATAATACCAGTCTCTACTAAAACCGAAACAAGAGCTACTCAAAATACATACACATGGTAGAGCCTATTTTATTGCGTTTGAGGCTTTTTGCAATAAATACATATTACATACGTACGTGCTGTTCAGGTCTATAATAGTTATTGTCGTCAAACATAAAACGCTCTTTTATATCTTTATGGTGAACACTTTTAATGTATATTTTATCTTCTTTTTTCTTTTTTTTTTCATTTTGCAGTCAGTGTTTCATATGGAATCTTGTTTTGGATATATATTCCATCGAGACTGGCTCATAT